GTCAGTTCAAAAGAAACGTAATTATATGCTTTTTTTTAAATAATTCATTATAAAAACTTTACATAGAAGTAATTACAACTGCAAAAAATGCTATAAGAAACGGTGGGTAGGCCTCTCGAACTCAATAATATAGAACGCAGTACATTTTGCCTCTTAAATCTTTGTAATTTATTTTGGTTTCTATTCCACATCAAAATAATTTTAAAATTATTATTAAGTTAGTTTATTTTAGTTTCGTGTTGTTATCTTTACATAGTATAAAATGAAGTTGTTTCCGCTGTCTGTTCACTTAGATCTTTTAAAGTACTAAAAGAATTTTAATGCAGTTTTCAGCAATAAATAGAGTGATTCAAGAGGAAGGCATAATCTCTACATATAATAAAATTGTAACTAAGTCGAATCTGTACATTAAATATTTTTTGGAAAATCTAATTAAAATAGACATTATTATCGATACAGAGTCAGAATCTATAGTTTTTAGAATTTTTGTCTGTCTGTCTGTTACCGCATCACGAGAAAACCACTGGACAGATTTTGACGAAATTTGGTATGATGATAGCTGGTTATCTGGGTCAACATACTGGATACTTTTTACCGCGGGAAAATATCTCATTTCTGAGAAAAATACAAAAACTGCAATGTAAGAATATACTAATATGTAAAACCTAAGAATTTGGTTTTTGGTCATCTGAACGCGGGCGGAGCCGCGGGCAATGCTAGTAGTATATATATATACATGCATATTAAAGTACATAAAAGCCGAGAAATTCAAAGATTTGTATTTCATACTAACCGTTAAAACGTACCTAGGGACGAACCCGAGCGAAGCGAGAGTAAGTCGCTAGTACTTTAATAATATTATAAGTGACAAACGAATCGGCAGGCGGTACGAGACAACTGAGGTTCGTAGCGCGATGCAATTGCTATTTAGGCAAAATGTGCGCGTCAGCACTGCACTACATATCAATGACTATAATAGAATCAATAATACCTGAAGTCGTCCACATTTTAAAATAAAAAAACTAAATAACATTAAATGTGTATATGTACCTTCGAATATCTTAACCAAAGCAAATAATAGTAATAATTATAGGTGAAAATTTCGATGTACATAAACAAGTACTTCGTTCGACAATTTTGGCATTATCAATCTTTGTACAGTTAAACTTTTTATGCTGTGCAGCTAACATTAAAATACCATATCTTTAGAATTACAAATCACTATTTAAGACACTGTTCAACTTCTTCGTCACTTAATTTCAGGAGTCTCATAGATTCTTTCCAAAGTTCTGTCGCTATATTCTCGTTATACGCAGATTGTCTAGCACTAGTTAGCTTGCAATTTTTGAAGAATCCTCCAGTCACATTTCCTGCTCTCTTATCTAACGCCACATGAAGCGCAGTCTGTGCTCCTTCCCATGGGGTTTTAAATAACATATTTAATAAAGTAATTAAAATGTACCCAAAAATTGTTCCAATGCAATAAGAAATTCCCGTCCCCACCAACCCTGGGTCCACACAGTTCACTACAACATTCGAGCTTCTCAGTTTCTTCACAAGCTCGTTTGAAAATAAAACTAAACACAACTTACTATTACCATATAGTTGAATTGAGTAGTAATGCTTTATATCATTAAGCTTATTAAAATTGATTATCCCAATATTATGGAGGAAAGACGAAGTGTTAACGATCCTGGCCGGCTCCGAAAGTGTACCAGATTTTTTAAGAAGAGAGAGCAGCAATAAAGTGAGTAGGACGGTTCCAAAGTAGTTAACTTGCATAATAAAACTCATGCCATCCTCTGTTATAAACTCTGACACAGGTCCGACGCCTGCATTGTTTATTATAATATCTAGTCTTTCCTCCCTTTTCTTTATTTTTGCCGCGAATTTTCGTACCGATTCAATTGAAGAGAGGTCTAATAGTTCAAAAACGACATTGTCACTTTCTGTTTCATCCTTTATAATTTTTAAAGCTTCTTCTCCTTCATTGCTGAAAGGGCACGCGATGATGACTCTAGCGCCCCGATCCGCCAAGTCCACAGCTATCCTCAAACCCATGCCAGCAGTGCCTCCTGTAACGATGACAGTCTTTCCATCCAATCTCTTCTTTGATTTGCATATCGCGTTAGTCGATTTCTGATATAAGCCCGTGATTAACGCCACTATTATTATGGCACAAACTACTAACAGTATCGCGCTCATCTCCGTGTGCTTGCTTCAATGGTTTCGAACATAATACTGTGAGTGTTTGAAGCGTCCTATTTTATAAAATATATATTTTTAAATATATTTTGCATATTTAGTAGATACTAAGCGACTTTTATTGCTGCTTTTATAACTTGTTTATAAACGCGAATATTTGATTAGTTTGTTGCGTAGATAGTTATGTAAATTATATAAAGTTAGTTATAACTAACTACAATATATAAATTACTTTAACGACAGGTCCAATTAGTTCGAGAAGTATACTTAAGTAATGTGTTAGTATTTCTGCGTTATAAGCACATAAGTAAATATCCCTATTAATATTATAAATGTGAAAGTTTGTGAGTATGTATGTTTGTTACTCTTTCACGCCAGAACGGCTAAACGGATCTGGATATTTGGTACAGAGATAGAATATAGTCTGAAATAATACATAGGCTACTTCTTAGCCCAGAAAAATGTACGTGGGATAGATTTGCTTTTGTTTTCCTAGAGGCGAACCCGAGGGAAACGCGGGTAAGTCACTTGTTAGTCTATAAAATTCGTAACTATATAATTACGAAGTTTGTAAGTTTAGCATACTTTTAATAATTCAGCCTTACAAATATAAAAACAAACGTATATAAATATATTATATACAAAATATAATATTTTTTTTTTAAATATAAAAAACGGCTAAGCATGTCGGGCCACGCGCAATGTAACATTCCGAAGTTGCCCATCACAATAATGCGGTCTACGAAGAGGGATTTTATTGTTTCAATACTATGAACAGTTAACGTTAACGGTTTCGGCGGCTCATAACGTCTAAAAACGCCTGACTCTAACAAAAATTAACACTTTAGAGCTTAATATTTTTCAAACGGATCCCTTAATGGAAAAATCTTTTGCACAAACCCGCAATATTTTTTTAGGATCTATCCAACCACATCCCACACCATGGCGTAGACAAGAAAAAAAAACATACCTACCTTACCCTAAAAAAACCTAAAAACTTAAACAAATCATTGTTTATTTTTCTTAATATTTTCTAACATAAACGGAATGTATGTATGTTTCTTAATTTCCGGAGGCAAGCTTAAAGCGAAAGTGCTTACATCTATCTTCATGTACATATGTATTTTATTTGCTCTTCAACCGATTTCAAAAAGGAGAAGGTTCTCAATTCGGCTGTATTTTTTTATGATTGTTACCTAAGAACTCCGTCATTTATTAACTGATTTTGACAATTTTATTTTTTGTTTGTAAGTGTATACTTCTAGATTGGTCCCATTTAAACTGTAAATAAATATATTTAAAGACTAGCGGCTCACCCTCGCTTACTATAGATTTTTTACTATCCCACGGGAACAATTTAATTTTCCGGGATGAAAGATATTGACCGGGGATATAAGGTACCACCATGCAAAATTTCGTTTAAATCGGTCCAATGGATTCGGAGATTAGCCCGTACAAACAGACAAACAGACAGAGAAACAAAAAAAATGAAAAAAAAATGGATTTGTTCTATTTCTCTTCTTACATCCCCCTGACTCGGTTTTTAGCATATTTTTTCTATGTACAGACATTCAACCTTGTCAGTTTTATTATAGTATAGATACTTTCAGAATCCCCCCAATTTGAGTTTAAAGACGAAACGAAGTTTTTATCAAAGTCACCCCACGAATCAAAGTAACAACAGTCTACGGTATCTAGTATTTCCATCATTAAAATTTATATAACTTCATCATCTTGTATACATTTGGGTGCATTTTTACTTAATTTTATTATTTGGATAAATTAAAAAAACATGCTAAGTGTATTCATTTATTATTACACTACTACTACTTACTACTGTCTACTACTACTGATAAAATAAAAAAAAATATTACCACATTCTTCAACGGTGAGGAGAATTTATATACTTAAGTCTACATATAACATTTATGTAGACATAGGTACATAAGTAAATTTTCATAGTATTCAGATTTTGACCGACTTAATAAGAGATGTACTCAATTCGATTATATTATGTTTTTTTTTTAAATATATTATGCGATTCTTCTCCAACTGTCCATCGATATCGAATACTCTTTCACCATGAATAGAATAAGATATAGTAATAGTTCTATAATAACTATAATCATCATTAATATACAAAAACTCAAGATATACAATTAGGGTCTCAAAAGTGTGCTCAAAAACAAGTGCACAACTCGAAATTGTGCGCTTTTTTCAAATCTTTTATGTTCCTGCTTTTCGAAAAACAAAATTAAAGCGCGTTATTTCGTTCAAAAAAGTACTTTATGTGGTGTGCGTAAGTTCGAATTTGTGTTTAGACAATTAGAATTGACGATTATTGAATTCTATTGTTTGGTTTATTTAACATCATAATATGTCGACGGCACTTTTTTCTAGAGATATGTTAGGAAATGTGTATCTATGTTATAATATCAATGACTATAATAGAAACAATAATACCTGAAGTCTTCCATATAAATTTAAAAAAAAAACATTAAATATGTATACCTTATACGAATACCTTAACCAATGCGGGAAAGCAAAAAATGTTACCCATAACGTATATCCTATAGGAATTATAGGAATGTTATATTATTTCAATTGCTTATAATTATTTTAACAATGTCAACAAAAAGTGTCGTAGATTATGAATATTAATGTAGGTAAGAATTTCGATGTACATAAATAAGTACTTCGTCCGGCCATTTTAGCAATAACGATCTTTTGTAAACTTTTATAGGTACTGTAAAGTTAAAATAAATATACCATATCTTTAGAATCAGAATTCACTATTTAAGACACTGTTCAACTTCTTCGTCACTTAATTTCAGGAGTCTCATAGATTGTTCCCAAAGTTTTTTCGCTATCTTCTCATTATACGCTAATCGTCTAGCCCTAATTTGCTTGCAATTTTTGAAGAATCCTCCAGTCACATTTCCTGCTCTCTTATCTAACGCCACATGAAGCGCAGTCTGTGCTCCTTCCCATGGGGTTTTAGATAGAATACAGAATAAAATATTTAAAATGTACCTAAAAACTGTTCCAGGGCAATAAAAAATTCCTGTTCCCACTATCCCTGGGTCCACACAATTCACTACAACATTTGAGCTTTTCAATTTCTTTACCAGCGCATTTGAAAATAAAACTAAACACAGCTTACTATTTCCATATATCTGATAAGGATAGTAGTGCTTTATATCATTAAGTTTGCCAAAATTGATTGTTCCAATATTATGGAGGACGGACGAAATGCTCACGATCCTGGCTGGCTCCGAAGATGTACCAGATTTCTTAAGAAGAGGAAGCAGTAATAAAGTGAGTAATACGGTTCCAAAATAATTAACTTGCATAATAAAACTCATGCCATCATCTGTTATAAACTCTGGCACAGCTCCGACGCCTGCATTGTTTACTAAAATATCCAGTCTTTCCTCCCTTTTATTAATAATTGCGACGAATTTTCGTACTGATTCAATTGAAGAGAGGTCTAATAGTTCAAACACGACATTGTCACTTTCTGTTTCTTTCTTTATAATTTTTAAAGCTTCTTCTCCTTCGTTGCTGAAAGGGCACGCGATGATGACTCTAGCGCCCCGATCCGCCAAGTCCACAGCTGTCCTCAGACCCATGCCAGAAGTGCCTCCTGTCACGATGACAGTCTTTCCATCCAATCTCTTCTTTGATTTGCATATCGCGTTAGTCGATTTCTGATATAGGCCTACAATTAACACGACGATTATTATAATAGCACAAGCTATTAGTAGTAATGCTCCCATCCTTGCTCTTGCTTCAGTGATACTTATCGTACTTTGAGTGTTTAAAGCGTGCTACGTTTTAAATACGAATATAGTGAGTGATTTTAAGTGACCATTATTGCGGAAATAATTTGCCTATTGTTAAAATACCTGAGAAAAAATGAAATCACTTAATTCATCGCGACTATATAGAATATATTCTTAACACTATGTAAATTTTATATTATAAAAAAAACTTTTAATTTTTCCCTTTTTAGTGTAGATATAGTAGTAGCAAAGTAAGAAGAAAGTATTTTAATAAAATATTCGCTTAAACCGTTTAAGTTACTTTGATCACAATTTTTATACGGAGACTTATAAACTAAAATTCGCATTTATTAGTAACACTAAGAGTTTTGGCTCTAAAATCCGATCCCAACGTGTTAGGCTTGTCAAATCAAACAAAATAAGCCCAAACTCAAAGTATCTACTATTAGCCTCTTTCTTTTATCATTTCCATAGTGGCTCTTATGTTATGGACATCAAATGAAAGAGCTTGATAAGCTAAGCAAAGTCACGTCATTGTAAATCCATTATGGCGGATTCCAGAGGATGGCGGATAATGTGCACCCCTATGATATGGATATTAAATAAAGGAGTTTGCTGACAAGAATACGAATAAAATAAAAACTAAAAAAAGAAATAAGAATAAAAAAATAAAAAAACAATATTTAAAAGCTCTAAAAAATACAAAACAGTATAACTTTTAACGTGCGTACTTAAGTACACACTTTTTTTACTACTGCATTATTTGCATAATTAAAATCAAAGTAAAACCAAGTCGATTAATTTATTCAGCACTTATCTATGGAAGCATCTATCCGACAACATTGTCATAAATTGTTGCCTAAATAGTTAAATAACAACATTTTAAAGTGAACGCGTCAATATTTGATATCTTTCTTCTTTAATAATCGCTTTTTTTCCTAAGTAGGCTTATTCCAAGTCCTGGTGTACCCAAAGTCTCTACCAAAGTTCAGCTCTGTCGGAGTGTTTGTTATTTAATCACTATTTTTATGCCTAATTTGACCGGATTAATATTATAAATATATTTTTTACCAAGCGACTTTTATTGCTGCAAAATTTATAACTAGTAGGTATATAAAGTTAACAGTTTCTTAGATTTACGAGAATATTTGACATTTTAAATAAAGCTATCATTCCGGAGTTTTCCGCGTAGGTAGGTATATGTAAACTATTATTGTAAGTCATTTCATATTCATATATATATATATATATATATATATATATATATATATATATATATATATATATCATATTATTTAAAAGATAGACATTCGCTATCGCAGACTTTTTGGTAGTAATTTCTATGTTCTTATTTATTAGAACATGTGTTGGTGTCTGAAATAGTTTACGTGACGCACGCGTAAACCATAATGAATTATACACCTTAACCTTCCTCATGAATTCCTCCATTTGTGAAAACCGTACGAAAATCTGTTCGGTAGTTTTTGAGCTTATCGCGTTCAGACAGACTGGCAGACAGATGCGGTGGGAGACTCTGTTTTATAATATGTATGTATAGATAACAAGCAATAGGTAAATTGATTAATAGAGGCGAATGTCACTTAAAATTGCAGATAACAGCTGGCAAATCAGACAGTTCATACACGAAATAATCATAAAAATAAAACAAAAAAATATAAAAGAACAACACTACATCTATTCGGATATTGAAAGAGTAAAGTTTGAAAGATTGGATATACATAAGGGATAAATGATAAAATCTTAAATTACTAAAATTTCAAAGAAAGCAATTGATATTTTTTTATTCCGGTAAAAATGTGTCGGTCGGTTCCGGTAAAAAAGGCCGACCGTAGACTTGATTTATAAATGTGTGTCGTCTCTCTCCTAAGTCCTAGGGAGGCGCTCGAGCAAAGCGAGGGTCAAGTCGCTAGTCTATACTAATATTATAAAGAGGTAAAGTTTGTGAGTTTGTGAATTGTGAGTTTGTGACGTTGTAGGGGGTAATCTCTGGATCTACTGAACCGATTTAGATGAAATTTGGTAAGAAGATAGATTGAGACTCTGGAAAGGACATATGACTTTTTATCTCGGAAATCATTCCCTAATGCGGTGAAAATGGGGATAAAATTTTGTATGGGGAATTAATCTGAGGACGAACCCGAGCTAAGCGAGGGTGAGTCGCTAGTCTATTATAAAATTAAGGTAAATACATAAAAAAAGTTTCATGCATGGGAAATTACGGAATCTTTATCATTTATCTATAATATTTATATTATATCCCATATGTGTATAACCCATTTTGTGTTAAAATTAGTCTCCTTAGTCTGTTAAATAAGTCTCCTTAAATAGGGCTCCTTCCAGATACGGAGCCCTAAAAGGACATTACACTTAAATCCTCTTAATTTTATACTTTTGCGTTTTTTCTATTCTTAAATACTTGATCAGAAATCCACACTAATACTTACATTAGTTGATATTCGATATAAGTTTTCAATAGCTTGAAGCTTCCTATTATGCGATTCAGAAACGAATACTCAGCTGACAGACAACTAGACATTTTGGACACGGAACTCTAAAGAGCACTTACACTAGTGACTGGAGCCAAAGGCACCTTGTTTAATTAAACCTTTTAATAAATAAACATGTTTTTATATCCTCGTTTTATTCTACAAATCTGGCTTTTGAAGTTACTATGTTATCTGTTGCTTCAACAAAGAATATCAGCTTTTGAAAATGTTTCTAAAATGAAATAAATAAAAGGCACTCGTTAAAATATATTTATTTATTGTAAAGGGAATTACAAAAGTTTAAAACATTATTTAAATAGTAGCTATATTATTATAAATACTTTTACTACTTTCTAAATATTCTATGGATGACCCCTGATGAATATATTTTGGCAACATTAGAAAAAACTAAATTGCTCACTTGTTTTAAAAAGTTTTCGTAGAAAATTCTCTTTTTATTGTTCTCTTTACCACGTTATTTTAAATTTCAATATCACTTAAATATATAAAGTACATATCCTTTAAAATAAAACTTTGATAATACGCTTGAATATCACGTCGGGGTGTCGTGGTTGAGTATTAGTCAGGTAGGCCAAGTAAAATTCGATATAACAGCACACAGTTTTCATTATTTTATATAGATTCAGAATAACGCCTCAAACTACATTTTTTTAATCTTTATTTTAAAGGAGTTTGATCACAGCGTGATCATGACACCCATATAGGAATAGCTTGACATAATTGATACAACTTACAATAATCAATTTTATAAATAACAAAGCTCAAATATTCCTATATCTTAATCCCACTTGTACTATATACAATATTATTGACTTATCCAAGACTAGATAGGCCAGATTGCTATTAAAAGCTCCCATGTCTAATAAATTAATATTATATGATAAAATGGTTCTTTCTTATATATCTATGATATACATTCTCAATCTTATTACATTTAGCGCAAGCAGATGACACCGCCTTACCAATTAAGGAGGCAAAGCTATATTTAGTGGAATATGTCCTGAGCGAAGCCTCAAGCCTGTTATAATTTCTGACCTACTCATATTCGCACCGATAAGCCACGGTTTGCGGCATAAATTTGGCTGTATTCTTTAGTACCATATACCTTGTGTCTCAGATCTCTCGTAAAAGTATTATTTCCACTGTTCGCAACAATTTTATTTAGCAACACTTAAAACCTCTGTATAGTTAAGAAAGCAAGGAATACCGTCAGAAGAGGCTTCCTTCGCCAAACATTCAACTACTTTATTGACCAACCACTACTATTACCACACTACACTACCATTATGAGAAGGTATCCATTGAAAAGTCACTCTTTTATTACATGATATACCTATATTTGTATATATTTTTTTTATATCTCATAGACAATAGGTAATTTCCTATAATTAGGATTAGTCGTATTCAAATTATTAGATTGATTAGTCGTTAAAAAGCGCTTTATGAGTCCATTAAAAATACAAAATAATTTAAATTAATGCAACTAATATATGATAAAACTTCTATAATAGCAATCATTTCAGCATGCATTATAGAAATATTACAATTTATTAGGGGTTTAGAGATCTTTTTCCGATTCAGCTGTATATTTTCTTCTACATGTTACATGATATCTTCGCCAACTGTAAATTGATGTTGGCTTTCTTAATCAGAAGCTATATAAATAAAAGATAAAAAACATGAATCATATCATATAAGGTAACCAATACCGGGAAAAAGCAAGTCTTCTTATAATTATTTCAACAACATGAAAAATTATGGAATTGATGGATTATTGAATTAGTCTAAAATAAAAGTATCGATATTTTACTCGTATACCTACTATTCAACCTTTTGTACTGTAAGGCTAACATAAAAATACCATATCTTTAGAATCACAAATCACTATTTAAGACACTGTTCAACTTCTTTGTCACTTAATTTCAGGAGTCTCATAGTTTCTTCCCAAAGTTCTGTCGCTTTCTTCTCATTATACGCTAATCGTCTAGCCCTAGTTTGCTTGCAATTTTTGAAGAATCCTCCAGTCACATTTCCTGCTCTCTTATCTAACGCCACATGAAGCGCAGTCTGTGCTCCTTCCCATGGGGTTTTAAATATCATAGAGATTAAAGTACTTACAGTGTACCCAGAAATTGTTCCAATGCAATAAAAAATTCCCGTCCCCACCGCCCCTGGGTCCACACAGTTCACTACAACATTTGAGCCTCTCAATTTCTTCACCAGCTCATTTAAAAATACAACTAAGCACAATTTACTATTACTATATAGCTAAAATGAATAGTAGTGCTTTATATCATTAAGTTTATTAATGTTGATTATTCCAATATTATGGGAGGCGGACGAAGTGTTAATGATCCTGGCAAACTCTGAAGGTGTACCAGATTTCTTAAGAAGAGAGAGCAGTAATAAAGTGAGTAAGACGGTTCCAAAATAATTAACTTGCATAGTAAAACTCATACCATCATCTGTTATAAACTCTGACACAACTCCGACGCCTGCATTGTTTACTAAAATATCCAGTCTTTCCTCCCTTTCATTAATTATTGCCGCGAATGTTTGTACCGACTCAATTGAAGAGAGGTCTAATAGTTCAAAAACGACATTATCACTTTTTGTTTCTTCCTTTATAACTTTTAAAGCTTTTTTCCCTTCGTTGCTGAAAGGGCACGCGATGATGACTCTAGCGCCCCGTTGCGCCAAGTCCACAGCTATCCTCAGACCCATACCAGAAGTGCCTCCTGTCACGATGACAGTCTTTCCATGCAATCTCTTCTTTGATTTGCATATCGCGTTAGTCAATTTCTGATATGAGCCCGTAATTAACGCCACTATTATTATGGCACAAACTATTAACAGTACCGCGCCCATCTCCGTGCGCTTGTTTAACTGGTTACGATCGTAATACTTTGAGTGTTTGAAGTTCTATATAATTTTTTTTTATTAATGAGGTTGACTTTAAACATACTTACCGACTATTGTTTTTTTATATAAAACAAATACACATGGGTGAATCCAGTCGCAGTAAATGGTTTTTCGTAGAAATCTGATTTTTTTTATTTGTTTTGTTTTACTAACGCTTATTTTGATTTGTATCTTCTGGCACCGACTTCAAAAATATCAGATTAGGTAGTAAAAGAAAACTACCAACCAGTTATTTTTTTTGTTTTGTGTTTTTTGTTTTGAATGTTTTTATTTTTTTACTTTTAGTGTAGACATATTAGTAGCAAAGTAAGATAAAAGTATCTTAATAATATCCGCTTCAGCAAATTGAACAGTTATATATAATAGTAGTTTGATGCCAATTTTTATATTAAGAGTGAAGACTGACCAACTATTATTCTGTTTTATTAGCAACACTATAAACTCCAATTATAACGTACCGGGCTTGTCAAAACAAACAAAATAGCTCAAACTCAAAGTATTTACTATTAACCGTTGAAGAGTTCCTCCTATCCACCTCCTGTCCTCGCCATCCGATCAGGTCGTCGAATCACTGCATTATCAACGGCAATAGAAAGAAACACTTGCAAAGTTTCAAATCAATATAAAGATAATTAGAAATAGGTAAAACTTTCATTAGTTATGTTTCCACCCTTAGGAGTGGTATTTTTTAAAATTCAAATGGGAGCAAACTGAAAGTATACACTTTCAAACAAGATACAAATTGTCCACATCGGTTAATAAATGACACATAGAAGATAGTCTCTTAAACTACTAAAATTTCAAAGATAGAAAAGCTACAATACCGCCGAGTTCTATAAGCTATTTTTAATTCCGGTAAAATATCTTTAACTAGTTACTCACTACCGTTTCGCTCGGGTTCGTCCCTAGTCAAAAACAAAAACAAATCTCTTCCACTGGAACCGTTTTTTTTTATTTTTCCTGGATAAAAAGTGACCTAGTACATAGGTCACTTTTTATCCAGGAAAAATAAAAATTCCAGACTATAATCGACTGAGCCAAATTTCATCCAGATCCGTTCTGGCGTGATTGAGTAACAAACATCCATCCATGCTTTCGCATTTATAACATTTATGTGAGACTAGCGACTCACCCTTGCTCCGCTCGGGCTCTTTCCTGCTTACATTTTAACGCTTAGTATATATTTCTCAGAGATGAGATATTTTCCCGCAGTAGAAAGTATCCTATATGTTGACCCGGATATCCAGTTATCATCATACCAAATTTCATCAAAATCCCTCCAGTAGATTTTCTGCGATGCGGTAACAGACAGACGGACAGACAAAAATTCTAAAAACTGTATCGATAATAATGACTATTTCAATAAAATATTCCAAAAAATATTTAATGTACAAATTCGACTCTGTTAGAATTTTATTATATGGATAAACTAGCGGCTCACCCTCGATTCGCTCGGGTTCGCCTCTAGAACAATCAACAAACAGATCTACCCCACGGGAACCGTTCATGTTTTAGTTTAACAAATGTTCGACGTGATTCTTGATTGATATAACTTTTTTATTTATCAACTGATTGACATTAAACAAACACTAAATGTTAAGGGAAGCTTACCACAATATATTAGTGAAAACCACATATAAATAGGATGAGCCATTTCTGAGATTAGCGTGCATAAACGTACAGATAAACAGACAAACAGACAAAAATTCTAACAATCATTGTTTTGGGTGCTATTTGCGTTTATAAAGGTCCCATATTATTTTCTCATATATCTTTAATGTACAGACAGCGATTAGTTATATTTTTTATTATTTGATAAGATAGATTAAATGCCAGTGTAATCAATCAGTCCGTAAGTAACAATTGCTGTTTTTAAATGTAATTATAATTTACAATATTGCAATATAACAATGTTCTTATGCTGCGTGAGTATCAACTAATAGTAATCCCACACGTCTGCATCAGGAAAATAATCCGCGACGGAATAATATGCTTTGCTTTATAAAGCGAGGTCAAGTTGCTAGTTTATTATAAAATAAAGTAAAAACAAAAATAATTCCGCTATAATAACCCACTTTGTGTCAAATTTTCTACATCTCCTTAAATAGGGCTCCATCTATACTTCCCATCACCGTCTATACTATACTAAGGATACTTAAGGGATACGGAGCCCTAAAAGCCTTTTAATTTTATAGTTTTTGCGTTTTTTCCATTCTCAATTACTTGATCAGAAATCCACATTAATACTTACATTAAGTGATATTCGATATAAATTTTCACGCTAATCTCAGAAACGGCTAAACTGATTTGGGTTCGGTTTTGACTTATGTCTTGTGGTAAGCTTCAATTAACATTTAGTATTTGTTTTATTTCAATCGGTTCATAAATAAAAATGTTATGTCAATTTAAAGAGCACCTAGGGTCGAACCCGAGCGAAGCGGGGATGAGTCGCTAGTATAGTATATTTATATACTCGTTTTACTGTACAAATTTTCTTCAAGAGTTCTGCGCACCAAACAAACAACATCAGCTTTTGTAAAGGTTTCTAAATTTATGAAATAAGTAAAAGGCACACATTAAAATCTATTTATTGCAAAAGGAATTACAAATGTATATATCTAACATTATTTAAATTGTTCTTCTTCTTCGTCCCCTCACTGATGAGGATCGTGACCATATAAATTATTATTTAAATAGTGGCTATATTACTTCTTATGTATACTTTTTATTTTCTAAATATTCTTTCGATAACTCCTAATGAATACAATAAGGCAACTTTAGAATAAACTAAATTGCTTCATTTATTTGTTTCATAAAGTTTTCGTAAAAAAATCTCTTTTTATTCTTCTCTTTGCCATGTGATTTTAATTTTCAGTACTAAAGATACTAAATCTTCTTGATAATAAAACTTTGGTATTACGCTTGAAGTTACATGCAAATATCTACACATAGACAATGTTTCAGTTAAGGTATAACATCTGATCTCCTCCGATATGTATTCCACTTAGTCTGCATCAAGAGGCAGCCGTCGAGCCTCGGGGCGTCGTGGTTGAATATTACGGGAGTATTTCAAAATTAGGTCAGGTACGTCAAGTAAAATTCGATGTGAAGGTATACAGTTTTGATTATTTTATACAGATTCAGAGTAATGTCTTAAACAACATTTTTTTATCTTTATTTTAAAGGGGTTTGATCACAGAGTGATCAGACCACCCTTATAGGAATAACTAAACATAATTGATACAACTTACAATAAATAATCAACCTTATAAATAACAAAGCTCAAATATTTCTATGTCTCAATTCAACTTGTATTACTTTAAACAACATTCTTGACTCATTCGGGACAGGATAGGCCAGAATTCTGTTAAAAGCTCCTATGTCTAATAAGTAATATATGACAAAGCTTCTGTAATAGCAATCGGTTCAACATGCATTATAGAAATATGTATTACAATTTATTTGAAGTTTCAGAAAACTTTTACTCTGTGGATCAAAAAACGCTACTCCAATAACATTTTTATCTTAAGTGAACCATCGGTAAATAAATAATAATAAATGGGATACATTCTTTGAATTGCTTCATTACAAACTGTTTTAAGATTATATTCGTGATATGTTCTTTTTGACTTATTAATTACTAGCGACTCACCCTCGCTCCGCTCGGGTTCGTCCCTAGGATGATTCCCCATACAAACTTTTATCCTAATTTTCACCCCCATAAGGGATGATTTCCGAGATAAAAAGTCTATACTATCTAGTAGATCCAGATATTACTCCCTACAACCTTACATACTCACAAACTTTAACTCTTTATAATATTACTATAGATATCTAACTTAGGTTGTATAGCTTTTGAAAAATCCACCCTGCCAATCCATGTATGGAATACATAGCTGGTTATCCGGCCCAACATATAGGATACTTTTTACCGCGGGAAAATATCTCATTTCTGAGAAAAAATACAAAAACTGCAATGTAAGAGTATACTAATATGTAAAACCTAAAAATTTGGTTTTTGGTCATCTGAACGCTATGAGTATAGCCTATTAGCTATAGCTAGGGACTGATATTTTTTAACGCTTACACATTTTAGCTTGAAACAATATGATAAAAGTTATAGTTATTAAAAATTAAATCGCAATGACTAGGTTAATAATGTAATAGTAAACGTGTTTAAGTCGAGTTAAATCAAAATATTATTTAGAGAATTAGAATAACAATGAAATGCTTGCTAAATTGGGAGATCTTACATGGCTAGGGACTGATATTTGGAGTAGGAAGAAGCGATTTTCGGAAGTAAAAAATATTGTAAAATAAATCAAAGTGAGTGACCAAATTACATGAACTTTATAATATTGCTTAGTAGTTGCAAATATTCAATAAAAGAGATATAAATATGTGAAAATTGCTGCTAACACCAAGTTAACCAAATTTTGAAGAATCACCCATATAAAATTTTCCATTTCCACCGATACTATAGTTCTATTGTAAAGTTTCACTAAAATCCAATCAGTAGTTTTTGCGTACTAAGCTGTATAAGTTACTATACATTTTTAACTATCCCACGGGAACTCTTTAATTTTCCGACCACGTTCAAAAAACAAAAAAAAAACAGATTCTTCTTTCCCTTCCCTTTACAATAACATATGAAAGTCTGCCCGGTTTATTGACATTTATGATTACTGCTCCGCTCCCTTGGGTAGTAGCATGATTATATATAGCCTATTAGACTTCCTCAATGAACGGGCTATCTAATGCAAAAGGTAGTAGGTAGTAGTAAGTAAACAAAGTAGGCTTAACACAGAAAGAGCAACGCTAGATAGGTTCTCATGGCATTCTTTTCGGGAGGCCTATGTCCATTAGTGGGTGTCTGATGGCTGGAATGACGATGATGATAAATTTAAAAATATAGGCGGGCGGGGGCGGCATTTTTCAGTTTTTGC